CCGTGGACCTGGGAGTAGCCCTTGGCAACCCAGCGCGCCTGTACTTGATCACCTTGCCCTGGTCGTCACGCTCCTCCGAAGATGACCATGCTGCGGAGCAGCTTGTGGCCCTTGGGAAGGTCAGCGCGAGGCACGACGTCGTAAACGTCATTGGCCTGCATTGCCGCAAACTCATCCAGGATGGCTTGGCGCCACTCCTCCGAGTCTGGCGAGGCAAGCGCCTCCTTGACGGTGGCTGGCTCAGCTGACGTGAAAACACTGCCAGCAGCGATGTCTGGTAGATGACCACCCACTGCTGATGTCTTCTCCCCCGTACCAGCAGCGCTGGTGGCAACGTGACACGTGGTGGTTGAGCCACCAGAGGTGTCCTTGTCGCCGAGGGTCGCGGACAACAGCAGCTGGTCCCAGACGGAACCGCCAAGGGCGCGTGGCTGGAGCTGCGGCTCCCCCGCACGTGGTGCAGTGGGAGCGCCAGTGGCACTGTCCTCGGTTGAACGCTGAGCGGTCTTGTTGGCATGCGAAGCAGAGGCACCGCTGTCGTCCTGCTCTTGCTGCTGCTGAGAGGAGGCGGCGTGCTTGTTCTTGATGGCGCCGAAGCGAGCGTGGATGGTGTGGACAACGCGTCGCGTGTCCGGCATCCAGACGACGTGGGCCTGGTCCTCCTCGGCGAAGCCGACGTAGACGCCGACGCGTGAGCGTGGGTCAAGCTTGTGCCGCGTGCTGCTCTTCTCCACATGCACGTAGGCCGGCGAGCCGAAGACGCGCAGCAGGCTGACGTCGAAGGGGTGCCCAGTCAGGGCCTCGAACGGTGACTTGTCCTCGAGGCTCCTGCGTGGCGCGATGTTGTGCAGCAGCGTGGCGTGTTGCACGGCGAAGCCCCAGAACGGCTTGTCCAGGTCCGCAGCAAACAGCATCGTGCGCGCCGTCTCGAAGAGGGTGCGGAAAGTGCGCTCCGCGGATCCGTTCTTGGCCTGCGAGTGCGGTGGCGAGAAGCGCTGCTTGATGTCGAAGGCCAGGCACAGGTCGGTGAAGTCCTGGCTCTTGAAGACGGCGTCGCTGTCCGTCTGCAGCGTGGCGCCTCGGAGCGCGTTGACGACGTGGCGGTCCTTGCGCAGCTGCTCCAGGGCCGCACCGACGTCGTTCTTGTGCCGGATGAGGAACGTCCAGGCAAAGCGCGTGCAGTCGTCGATGAAGGTCAGCGCGTAGCGTGCACCTCGCAGCGACGTCTCCTCCAGCGGACCGGCGATGTCGGCGTAGAGCAGCTGGCATGGCCCAGCGCTGCGTGGAGCAGACTGCTTCGGGATGGAGGCGCGCGTGCTCTTGCCAAGCGCACATGGCCCACAGGTGACGATGTGCTTGGAAGAGGCCTGGGCGATCTGCTGCCGGATGGCGTCGACGGCTGCGCTGCTGCGATGGCCTAGCACGTCGTGTGCAGAGGCGCCCTCGTCAGCATCCTCGGCTTCCTCGTCGCTGCTGTGCACGAGCTCCCCTGCAAGCGCCGTGGCTTGTTGGGAGGTCGTGGTGCTGGCGTAGAGGAAGAGGTGGCCGGTGTCCTTGGACGGCAGCAGAGGCACACTCCATGTGGCAAACTGGATGCGGCTGTCGTCCGCAGCAATGACGACGGAAGCACCACGACGCGCGCGAGTCACCAGGTTCAGCGCCAGTAGGTTGTACTTGATGTCGGGGACATGCAGCAGCTTGCTGCACACGCGGTCGCTCGTCAGCGTCGGTGCACGAGACTCAAACTCGCTCTCACCATCGCACGTGGTCAGCGCCCGGCACTCCCGGTCTGTCGTCGCCGTCGGCGCCTTCACCTCATACCCAGCATCCACATCGCACGTGCTCACCTTCCGGCACACAGCATCAGCGCTGCTCGTGCACGCCGTGTGCAGATACTCTCCGCTCGCACACGACCGGCACCGCTTGCACGTCGTGTCTGCCTCGCTCGTGCACGGCGACTGCACAAAGTACCCGCTCCCGCACCGCGTGCATTCCGTGCACTAGGCATCAGCAAGCGGCGTGCACGCCGTCGACACAAACGTCCCGCTTGGGCACTCAGTGCACGCCTTGCACACAGCATTCGCGCTCTCGCTGCACCCAGACATAAGATACTCAGACGACGTGCATTCCCGGCAGCTCGAGCACTTGCGGTCGCTCGAGTCCGTCGCGGCAACAGACTCGTACTCCGTGTCCGCACACACCTTCAGGTCCGCACACACCCTGTTCGTCGTCGCCGTGCACGTCGCCGTCTCATACTGCGTCCCGCTGTCGCACCGGTCGCACTCAGCGCAGTCCCGGTCCGTTGTCGCCGTCGGCTTCGACACCACAAACTGCGTCGAGTCGCACTGCGTCACACTCGCGCACTTGCGATCCGTCGTCGCCGTCGGCGCGCGCGTCTCGTACTCGCCGCTCCCGCACGTCGTCAGCCCCGTGCACTCCCGGTCGCTGTTCACTGTCGGCGCGCGCGTCTCATACTGCTCATCACTGCACGCCGTCAGCGCTCGGCACTGCGTGTCCGTGCTCACAGTCGCCCGCACGGTACACGTACTCGTCCTCCTCGCACGTCGACACAGGCTGGCACGGCGTCTGCCCAGTTGTCGCCC